ACTTACACTGCCATAAACCTGATAGAAGAGAGTGGGACCAAAAGCAGCAATCACCGCAAACAACAACATTGTCGAGGTCACACCGGCTGATTTTACATTGAACCGTTGGGTCTTGCGTTTGAGTGCACCGAAGCACATGGACAAGCCAGGGAGAAACAGAATGCCGACAAAGATACTACCGATGATGCTTCCCTCGACAAGTTGAGCCTTCCCCTCAGTCAAGGCGACACAGTAGAGGTATACTTCTACAATGGTTGAGAAGAAAGCATTGATGGCGGCACCCAAGCCCATAGAAGATTGAGCGGAGATCGAGGCAACGGCTTGCCCAATGAAATAGGCCAGAGGAATGATGGAGAGCAGAGCGAGAGGGAAGATCAAGGCCGGATGTGTGAGCCAGTTCTGCAAGCCCAAGAATTCGCCCAAAACATGATAGTCGAAAATCACAAACACAACCACACCAAGAAGATTGATCAGGAAGATGTTTGTTCCATCGAGAGTGTACTTCCAGTATCTCGTTCCCGCAGCTCTGTAGGTGCAAAGAAGGATGGAAGACGAAGATGTGGTTGTGGTCGATCTAGCATATCTGGAATCGGAATGGAAGGACAGTGCTAGAGGATGCCTGCGTAAATGGCTGACAAGTGTAATCGTTACACGGCCCATGGGAATCCAAAACACCAAGAGCCAGCAGATGAGCGATACCATAAGCATCAACGGGCCGACTAAGAAGTAGAAGAACACGAAGAACACGACACGACCCAAGGTCCATTCGCCCCGACCAAAAAGGCGACGCTTGGATTGAACTAGCTGAGAAGAGTCTTCGCGTTGTCCACGCTGGGGCCGCCCGAGGAGGCTGTCTTGCTCACCGGCTGAATCAACGCTGTTCCTTCGTCTACCAACTAGGGACCGATCTCTGCGAGGTCCGAAGAAAAGACGACCATGCTCCAGATCACCATTTTGCCATTGCTCATATTCGCTGATACTGCGTCCTTCGCCCTCATCTTCTTCGGCATAATTCTCATCGGTCTCCAAAAGAACATATGATCCGAACGGGTATAACAGATATCGTGAAAGACCTGAAAATACTCTTCCGTATGCCACAGCACTCGATGAGTAGGAAAAGAAAAAGCATGCAACTGCGGCCAAGAGAGCAAAAAGGGCAAGCCACCATCCAAAGAACAAAGACCATAGTAGATTCGTCAAAAAGAGAATGGGACTGACATAGCCTCCCGGGGATGAGTGAATATCACCCTCAGCCGTCTTCTCTACAGAGCGGCTCTTTTTGTACAGCGCAGGCTTCCAGATCCTAATACCAAACGGATGTGTTTCGTTGATGGCCTGTTGACGGTCTTTGAGTGTGAAACTCTCAGCATCACTGGCTGCATCTTCATCGTCTTCCACGCTATGTTCCTCGTCGTTCTCACTCTCCTCTCCGCTGCTATGTCCGGTCGGTTTCGAAGAAGCGAAGGCTTCTTCAATATCCAGACCCGGTTCAGGCAAGCCTATTTCGTCTGCATTGTAACCCTCCGAATCGGCTCTGGCCAAGGTTCTGGGACGAGTGCTGGGACGTCGTCTCAGTGTCGAGCTTTGCGTTCGTAGTGGACGAATCCTAGGAGATTGTTGCGTGTTCGCGCCTTGCTTCATTGTCATATATTGCTTGACCTCATTGACATCATCATCTGTCGAGAACCCTTGCCCCTTGTGGGGGATTTGACGCTTGGAAGAGATGCGACGCGATACCGAGGGCTTTCGGGGTTTATCAGAGACAGCGGACGATTGGGTCGTAAATGCGCGATTCGAACTCTCCTCTTGGGCATCATCACGGAGTTCGGGATTGGTCGCTTCGAGGGAAGGTGTATCGAGTGTACCTGCAATTTTGGGTCAGCGCAAGCTGTCGTTGTCATAGGTTACACCAAAGGCAAGCTTACCGTATGTTCTCCGCGCAGATGTAGATGATCCGATTGGAGGTACTTGGCCAGAAGTCGGTGTTTCCCTTCCCGCCACCGCAGACGGCTGCGTGGGCTCGGGAGAGTCAGGGTTTCCTTTATCACCAGCCATGACCTAGTGATTTGACAAGCAGAGAGTGAACCTTAGAAGTAGAAGAAACGAGGAAGAGATTGAATGTCAAAGACACGGGGTCTCCTCTCTCTTTTATGCTGTTTTTGTTGTGCTCAAAGAAAGAGGGAAAAAAAAGTCAAAGCGATAAGACGGAAGTTCCCAGGGACATTATTGATCCAAATAGATCTAGGTGAAACACAGAAATCGAAGATGTCAATGAAAACTTCATTAGTTGAGATGCGTATAGATCATTGCAGGTCCATGTAGGACGAAACTCGTGGAAAGAGTATGTCAAAGGGGAGATATGGCTCTTTGACCGTCGCCTTGTGTCCCGTACTTTCGCGCATTGCAGATGACCGGATCATCAGCCCACCTGGGCAGCTCCAGGCGGACCAATCAAAGTCTACGGCTGAGTCATTGGGTGGGGAGCTCCCGAAGTCTCACCCATGGAAACAAAGATATATGTTTGACTGGTTTGCCTTACTTACCTAGCCTAGTATTTCAGGCCAGAGTTCTTGTTAATCTTAGTCAGCACAGCTAGACGGGCGGGCACCGGACCTGAGCTTCACGTACAGCTGGAACTACTCTGCTTGCCAAACCCCAGTTTCAACTTCTCCGTTTCTGCTCCCGAGTTACATCCCTCCTCTGACAAATTCTCGATATACCACCTTCTGAGCAGAACGATCAAGTTCTTTTTTTTTTCTTTACTGCATCTGTGTTCTGCGGAAGACAGACAGCCCTTGAGTCTCCATAGCGTCATCACCCCATTCGCCATCATGGCTCTTGACAACTACTATCGCAATAAAATCGAGGGCATGAAGCTCGAGATTATTCAAGGTCAGGCCGTTCTACGACGATTAGAAGCGCAGCGCAATGACTACAACTCGAGGGTCCGTCTACTGCGCGAAGAGCTTGGCTTGTTGCAACAACCTGGCTCCTACGTTGGCGAGGTGGTGAAGGTGATGAGCACCAAGAAGGTTCTGGTGAAGGTACACCCAGAAGGAAAATACGGTAGGCTTCGTTCATTTCAATCGTCTTGGCTTTTGATGACTGGGCTCATGTTAACGCTACGGTTTCCTTGATCGCAGTGGTGGATATCTCCGATGGTGTGGACATTAGCAAACTCGTTGTGGGAAAGCGTGTCGCTCTCCTGTCTGACTCTTACAAGTTGGAGAAGATGTTGCCGTCCTCGGTCGATCCTCTGGTTGCACTCATGATGGTCGAGAAGGTCCCCGACAGCACTTACGACATGATTGGTGGTCTAGACCAGCAAATCAAGGAAATCAAGGAAGTGATCGAGCTTGGCCTCAAGCACCCCGAGCTATTTGAATCTCTGGGTATTGCACAGCCGAAGGGTGTCTTGCTTTACGGCCCACCGGGAACTGGCAAGACCCTGCTTGCTCGAGCAGCCGCTCACCATACCGATTGTCGATTCATCCGAGTGAGTGGTTCAGAACTGGTGCAGAAATACATCGGTGAGGGTAGTCGAATGGTGCGTGAACTTTTCGTCATGGCACGAGAGCATGCACCCAGTATCATCTTCATGGATGAGATTGACAGTATTGGATCAAGCCGGATAGATTCATCAGGAGGTGGTGACTCGGAGGTGCAACGTACCATGCTGGAGTTGTTGAACCAGTTGGACGGCTTCGAGCCAACAAAGAACATTAAGATTATCATGGCGACAAATCGACTGGATATTCTGGACCCGGCCCTACTTCGGCCTGGGCGAATTGACCGAAAGATTGAATTCCCCCTCCATCGTCAGTCCACCCCCTTTGCTCCCAGTTATTTATGGATTCTTCTCGTTCTTCTTTTTTTCTGTATTTTTTTTTTCTTTCTTGGGTACGATGCTAACTTTACTTTTCTTTTGTAGGGTCGAAGCTCGTGCTGACATCTTACGGATCCACTCTCGGTCGATGAACCTGACCCGTGGGATCAACTTGACCAAGATTGCGGAGAAGATGAACGGGTGCTCTGGAGCCGAGCTGAAGGGTGTCTGCACGGAGGCAGGCATGTATGCACTCCGCGAACGTCGGGTTCATGTCACACAAGAAGACTTTGATCTGGCCACTGCCAAGATTCTCAACAAGCACGATGACAAGGAGGTGGCCGTGTCGAAGCTGTGGAAGTAGAGGCCTCTCGAAAGCGGGGGGTGGATCCCGGGGGCTTGGGGAACGATCGACGACATTGTATCACTAGTTCTAATCCTACCCTGATAATTCTCACCCCAAGTGAATGCATAGTTGTGCGACGTGTCTGGATCCAACCCATTTTGGGTGATGTGTAGGGGGTGTAATTATTCCTTGGCAGTCTCTTTGGGGGCGACTGCCTGGCCTCGGTGCATACTCTCTGTCCACATACATGTAGTAAATCAGCCATCTATCTTGTACTGGATCTGGGATTGGCCTCACGTGTACGGAGTAAAGAGACCCAAAATGTAGATCCACGTAACGTGATTTTTTATTTTTATTTTTATTTTGCAATTAGCGAAGGAAAATGATAATCATCAAAGGTCTTGGCAGCTTCAGCCTATCTCGAATACCACATCAAACGCAGTTGCTTGCTTGGTACTAGTACGGAGTAGGTGGTACATATTTACCAAGTAGCTCCTCGAGTGAAGGCTTGGCATGATGCTGCGGACCGTGTAGATCGGAGATGTCTCAATTGGCCTTGGCGCGGAATTCAGGGATCTCTTAACTATTGTCTTGGCGGGGTTCTTTTTTTTAAAAAAAAAATAGTCCCCGAAAGGATCTTCGAAAATGTACTCCGTCGTAGAGTATATATCTGGACTGGGGAATGTATCAATCTAGAAATTTCCACGTTGAAGAGTTGCCCAGGTGTGAATTGTTTTAAGAGTACGGAGTAGTAAGAATCTACCTAAGTATCGGATAATATCGACTATTAACCCCCATTGGACAAACACATTTCATCCCCTTGCCGGTTTAGACTGACGCAGACTTGCGCGTGACCAGCGGATCATTTCCCAACGTCCCTGGACTAGCGCCCATGTACTTGGGACGGTGGAGGTACTTGATCCACTTTGGTTCACCCCATACTTTGGGGAAGTATTTCCCAGGTAACTGGTACTTCTTATCACCCTTTCTCCCTTGCGCGGCCAAGACATGATTGTAGTTAGAGTTGAAAATCATGATAATAATATCCAAGATATATCAGATATCTAGATTTATTAAATGGGATGATACTAGTTATTATACGATTATACTATTATACTACCTACGTATGGTACTATGTTATGTACATAAGGAGTACGGAGTACGGAGTTGAGGAAGCTGAATTTGGTGCTGACCGTCATTTACTTGACCGAGAGTCCATTTACGGTTTGGCTCAAGTGTTATCTTATTTCCCATTTACTCAATCCAATTAGACTATACTCCGTAATAGTACGGAGTATACCTAGTTACATAGTATACCTACATAGTATACTCCGCCTATAGGTACATAATTATACTCTGTACATAGTATTATATAATCTGATCTTTTCTAGAAATGGAATCTTCCCAGAGTCCCCACAACTCCACAGCTCCATTGGTTCTATACTTACCTTAGGTCTATATCTGTAATGTACGGAGTACTTCCTTGTCCCTTTTTTCTTTTTTCTTTTTTTCCTTTTTTCTCCCTCCCTTTAAATATCTGACACAGGAATGATCAGACGATTCCAATTGTATTTATCCGATTCCCCGGTTCATTTAAACTATTTCATTCCCCCCTTCCAACTTCTTCCCCCCCACCTTCTCTATACTTTCCCCAACTTTAACTTTCAATTTCCATTCCCTGGCACTATAAATCTACCGGACTATGTCCGACCTGTGGTCTTCTATAGCCTTTGCCATTGACCCTAAGAGAACGGAAGCTATGCCTGCCGTTCTACAATCCACAATCAACCTCCTGGAAAGTGAGCTGGTCAAAGCCCGCGCTGCCCTCCGGGATATCCAACCTAATGCCTCACCTTTTGGATGCCGGGGTGATGATATCGCCGTAGGCGCCATGACTGCTTACAGACAGGACCTCATCGGCCGCGCCCCTGACTTTTACGGGTCTCGCCGCTTGACGCTGAAGGAACTTGGCCTGGTGCCTGTCGTGCACGAACTACCCGAACGGGTGGTATTAAAGGCGCAATCGATAGAACCTGTGCCCCCTCGCCGAACGGGACTAGAGGATATCTTGAGCAATAGCTTGATCCTCGACCAGATGGCACCATATCTATCAGTCTCCTCGTTGATGACGTTGAGCTCAACTTCACGCCGCTTACATACCGTCATCACTCGGACGCCATATGTATTTCGGCATCTAGATCTGTCCCGCTGCCGGGGTGCTGAACTTCCTACAATAACACAAGCGGAGAACGACTCCCAAACAGAGGACGAGATCTATTCCGCCCCATTGAAGCGTATTTTTACGAGCCTGGAGCGCAGAGGTCTCCTGCAAGATGTGCGCACTCTCATCTTGGACGGAGTGTCGGTGCCAGCTGATCTGGTGGCCGATATCATTTTGACGGATCGCTTTAACGTCAATATCTTGTCAATTCGCGAATGCCGCCATCTCAACGAACGTAAGCTCATGCAGGTCATTCAGCATGCTGTTCGGCCTACACGCCCTGCGGGTACACCGCGAGTAAAGGGTATCTATCATTTTTCGCCCATGCACATGGGCACTCGGGTAGTGGCACGACCCCGGTACCGAGACTGGTGGGGAACCCGTGTGGGGACTCCGCGGACACCCAGCGAAACTCCATCTAACTCTGATCGGGAGGACGGGGTCTCCGTGAAATCCTCGGTAGAGCAGCAAAACGAGTGGTACAGCGCATCAGGGAAGCTTTTCAAGCACAATCCCGAGGAAGGCTGGGCCCAGGTGCTTAAGAAGTGCGAGGGCGTCATTGCCTTCGATGCTGCTCTTTGCCGTGGCCCGAGACATGATCCCAATCTATACAGTTCGACCGCGGAGGAAGGCACCCCAACTGAGGTTCCGTTGCTTGGACCTGCCGTGGCCACCGTAGCCCTTGGGCCCCGTGGATGTGACGGATGCCACAGTTCCCCGGAAGGTCCGGCTATTTGGAGCCAGTCCCCAGATATTCAATTTCCGATGCTTAGCCCCCCCGCCATTGCACTCATCCAGCGTTGCAGCAGCGAAACGGCCCGAGCTAATCCCAGGTCAGCATCCGGTCCTCATTGCCCGCTGCACGGACTGCCTAACCAACTGTTGGTGCCATCGGTGCAATAAATGGTTCTGTGGAAATTGTCTTCCAAACCCACAGCCTGTCCGAGTAAGCCTGTCCCCGCATCAGACTGCAGTCCACGCCAGTGCTGCTGAACTGCAAGAACGTGAGGTATGTTGCAATTGAACCAAAGATTGAATCTGCTCCACCAACTGTTCATGTCACTGATCTTTATCGTGCAGAGGTTGGAACGAGGTGTAAGTAAAGACTGCTGGGAATGTGGCCCAACTGTGAGTAACTCCCCGGCTTTAGGACGTCGTTTCTTTCTAACCCAAGTATGTAGTGTGCTTCCTGTAAGCTGGAATGCCAGCACACATGCCAAGGCTGCCAGGGGGATTATTGCATTCAGCATAATGAAGGATGCTCGAAGACACTGGTACGTGTTGTCTTTTATTAACCCAAGTCCCCATGATTGAATGAGAGCGTATACTAATCTGCCCCGCAGTGCGACTGGTGCAATACCAGTGCTCGAGGCCGAATGCGTGGCGACTTCTATTAAACTGGGTCTAAATTTCTTTATTATTGGTAATCGACTTGAATTCTTGCATGCATGGATGCATACGGATGCATGGATATGTAATGAAGTTGATTTTAAAGCGAAGTATCAAGCGTGGAGGCTTCCAGAATTGAAACTCTTATCTCTTATCGGCTCTACAGTAAACACTAGCGGCCAATCTGGCAAAAGAATTTAGCTTTTGACGGGCAGAATTGTATCATAACTTTGGAAAGATGTAGATGTATATACATTGTTGATGGAGGCTAAGATGTACAAAGCCATGAATATGTATTGATCGTAATATTTAAAATAAATAAATTAATCATTGACCAAAGCAACAGAGTTAAGAGAAGATCTCATCAAACTCCGTCGTCGACTATACAATATAGGCGGAGAGAGGAGCGGTGTGCCCTACATTGTAGGGATTTGATTTTTGTCATCTTCCGGCGCTATTGCGATCCGTCCCCGCCTTGGAATATTCTCATATTAAAGAATGCATTCTCTCTCTAATGATTATCAATATCCATCATGGCTCAAGATACTTTAGTCTGGTCATCTCAGTTACTCGTCGCATCCCCAGAGCGGGCGCCTCGACTAACCGGTGACAAAATCACTCTACCGCAGTCTGCGCTCGAACAGCTACTAGCTGCCGCTCCGCTTCAAGCTGTCCCCTCCGGGAACTCTCGTGTACTTACTTCGTCATTCGATCCCTTCAACCACCACACCTTCGCTGCCGAATCGCGCGCTCGTCAAGAGGTCGAGCAACGTCAGCAGCAACTACCCCACCCGTTAATATTCCGCATTGTCAATCCTCTGAATGGCCGGTTTATCTATGCGGGCATCCGGGAGTTCTCCGCCGAAGAGAATGAAGTTGCATTGAGTACATTGCTCAGAGAATCTCTCGATATCAAGGATGAAGCGTTCTTGAGCGAAAATGGCGAACCACAAGACCTGGCTGTGTCCCAACTAGAAAGGGAAACCTCACCCCGAACTGGCCCCGCGGTCACAATACATGCGAAGCAACTCCCGAAGGGCACCTATGTTCGCCTCCGCCCGCTGGAAGCTGGATACGATCCTGAAGACTGGAAGGCTCTTTTGGAAAGATACTTACGGGACAACTTTACTACCCTCACGACGGGCGAGCTTCTGACAGTGCCGGGTACCCGGAGCGAGTCATTCAGATTCTTGGTGGATAAGGTGTTTCCCGAGGGCGAAGGAATATGCGTGGTGGATACGGACCTTGAAGTTGACATCGTTGCATTGTCAGAGGAACAGGCCCGAGAAACGCTACAGAAGAGATTGGAAAAGGCTTCACGTGCGCCGGGTACAACTAGTGGCAGTTCGATCGGTGGTATCCTCAGCATCGGAGAAGATGTCACTGCCCAAGTGTTGCCTGGGGAATATGTGGATTATGAGCTTCGAGATTGGAACCGCCAGGATACTATTCAAATTGAGCTTACTACGGACAACCTGGAAGTGAGTCTTTTTGCTAGTCCCTTTTCTACTCGCCAAAGAAGTCGACCGAGATCGGACATGCATGCCTTGGGGGATTTCTCGAGCCAATCGCCCAAGAAATTTAATCTTCGACCCACAAATGTGGTTATGGAAGATGCCGAGGCCCTTTATATAGCAGTTCACGCCGACCCTCCAAGCACTGAATCTGAATCTTCGGATCTACAGCGGCAGTCACCATCACAGTACCACCTGCGGATTACAGTGAATCCATTGGACACATCGGATAGTCATAATGCGACGGAAGAATCTCACGAACCTGGCGATGTGCAGTGCAAGAACTGCCAGCAATGGGTTCCCGAACGGACACTGGTTCTCCACGAGAACTTCTGTCTCCGCAATAATATATTATGTCCGCAGTGCCAGAATGTCTTCCAGAAACGCTCTCCAGAGTGGCAAGGCCACTGGCACTGCCCACAAGACTCCGCCCATGGCAACGATGCCGCAAGCAAAGAAAAACATGACGCTATCTTCCACCAAACCCACCAATGCATCGATTGTGCCGGGGATTTTGACGGACTCCCTAGTCTTGCGCATCATCGTACTACGGATTGCCCCGGGAAGTTGATTCTCTGCCAGTTCTGCCATCTTCTTGTGCCGCAGAAAGGCGATTCTGACCCTGATTTCCGCGATCCCGAGGTGATGCTCTCCGGCCTCACTCCACACGAACTGGTGGATGGAGGACGCACCACCGAATGCCATCTGTGTAATAAGATTATCCGATTACGGGACATGAACACCCATCTCCGTCACCATGACCTGGAACGCCTTTCTCGACCCGCGCCACGCACATGTATGAACAGAAATTGCGGCAGGACATTAAACAAAACCGGAAATGAGTCTGTTGGCCTGTGCAGTTTCTGTTTCGGACCGCTGTATGTTGACACCTACGATCCAGAGGGCAAAGCACTTCGTCGTCGCATTGAACGCCGATATCTCTCCCAGATGATGACCGGATGTGGCAAGCCCTGGTGTCAGAACGAGTACTGCAAAACCGCGAAGCAGAAAATGGCATCTGATTCTGATCCTCCAGCCACGATGAGTGTGGTGGAAATCATGAAGTTGACACGCCCACTTGTCGAAGCTCTAAACATCCAGCCGGATGTGCCTAATACGGCACCTTTATACCTCTGTGCTGATGAAGCAAGTCAACACCGTCGCAACCTCGCAGAGCTGATTGCAGCAGAGAGCACTGAAGGGAATGACAAAGTGTATGATCTACCATGGTGTATTGCGGCAGCGGAAGCCGCGGGTGGCGATTTGGAAAAGGCAAGAGAGTGGTTGTCTAAATGGGCACCAACCCAGGGCGCAACAAGTACATGATCTTTCTAGGTATGGCTCTAGAGACATGATTTGATATGAGAATATGGGCTTGTTTTGTATTAAGTGAAGGCCTACATAGCTTACCATTAAGATAGACGAATCTGATAATGCATAATGAATGATGTATAAACACAGCTGGAATTTCATAATATTCATGATTAAAATGCAAAGGCTGGTCTAAAATTAAGACCCTAGACATCGCAGTCACTCGCCTCAAGGGCCACACCCATGCAATGCATGGACAGAAAACGTGTATCAACCAACGCCCGGCTTTTTCAAGCCGCGCCCGTCTTCGCAGCCAGCGAGCCGATGCCGCGCGAAGAGAAGATACCCATGATTCCAAAAACAACATAGAACAGAGCTAACGGATACGCCACGAGACCCCTCATGCCACTCATGCGCGCCACAGCGCAGAACATCCCTGACGAACTGTATGTGCACCAGCCAACAGCGGCAATGGTCAGGAGATAGCCGAACATAGTGTCCATGGGAATCAGGATACCAATGAGACTGGTAAGCACCAAAGGAAGGAAGCAGTAGCCCAACACGCTAGCCGAGCGAGGGAAGGTCAGAGTGGCAGAGAAATGGCCCACGGCCGAGGCACCGGACATGGAGGGTTTGTGGTGGGGGTTGTAATTGGTAGGGTCGGCGGCATTGGGAGTTGGGACAGTGTCGAGAGCGGGAGACATGAGGCTGAGGATCAGATGCAAAGCGACGGTACCGAAAACGGCGACGCCGTAGATATAGCCGTAGAACACTTTTCCCGAGAGGAGGAGGAAAGTGCCGTATAAGACAATGTAGAGCAGAGCTCCGTAGAGATCGCTATCGTCCATCAGATGATTATCGATAGAGGCGAAGGGATTCAGAACAGTCAGAGTCTAGAGAAGGAAACTGTTAGCATCAACATCGGGTATTCACTGTTGACCAGGACTACAATTAAATTAAACCTGGGGTAAAAAAAAAAGCCACCCGCAAGACCCAGAACCCCACGTCTCCTGAACGCGCCTCATAAAATCAATACACACTAACCTTGGTCCGGATATGTTCAAAGTTAACACCCAACTCCTCAAGCAACGGTGGTTCACCATCGTACCCCTCCGTCCCAAACGCAGCCAACCAACCCGTCCTCAAGCCGCCTTGTTCGCCCATCCGTCCACTGACGCCAGCGGCCGGGGACCCGAAACCCCCATACCCACTACCGGTAGGATAAGCCTGCGCAGAGGGATTAGGAGCTCCGCCAAAGCCAGTGCCATAAGGTGCTTGTGAAGGGGTTGTGTGACCGGAAACCGAGGAGTAGGACGAGGGGAAGAACTGGAGATTCTGTGGTGCGGAGCCCTGGGGGGCGTAGCCCTGCTGTTGTGGATAGTATTGGGCCATTGCCGTAACTGACGGCGTAAGGAGCGGAGATCGCTAGTTTTTGCTTTGAACGAGGGACGTGCTTGGAGTTCCTGGATAGTAGCGATTGGCTAGGATGTAGATTGTTGTAGAGCTTCGAAGCTCCAAATGGCCTCAATAATGGACGGATGACTAAGCGTCTAATCGGCCCGCCCGCGGGCCCGGGCCCAGCGAACTAAACTCAAATTCGCATCTTATAGAGTGACATACACTGACATACACTGAACAGAGGATGTCTTTCTTTCTTTCTTTTTGGTATTTAGAATGTTAATATTAATTTGAACTTGATTGGAATTGGTAAAACAATGTATACGGTATGGTTGAACCCGCAAGAAATCTACTTATCAATGTTTACAGGAAATTGATACCGATGCCCAGCTGGAGCCCTTTGCGGCCTTCTTCGCCCTTTCGCAACGCCAGAGGCAAGGAAAAGTTGAGCTCGAAGCGAGCGACAGGGTGGGCATACACAATACCGAAGCCAGCTGCGACACTGGGCAGTCCGTTTTGTAATTCAGAGAGAGTTGACACCAGGGCATCCTGCACCTCACCATTAGTGGTAGGAGTGGCCTTCTGTGAAGTTTGCAGAGAAAGCAAGCGGCCACCGTTCAAAAAGGCCTGGAACCGCACGGGCTTCTCAGCACCAAGTCGGGGAAGCGGGAACAGCAGATTGGCGCTTCCGGCGGCGTACACATCACCGCCTAGTGAATCAACGCCTTCACGAGGACCGAGACCGCAGAGACGGAATCCACGGACATCAGTAGGTCCTCCAAGCTGGAAGCGGTCATTGACACGGGAAAGTTGAGGGGCGGGGTTGGACTCCAGTCCAAGAGGGCAGAGAAGACCGGCGCGGAAACCAGTGGTAAGACTGACGCCGCTGTCACCCTTGATTCCTGGGATCGGGATAGGAATGGCACCCTGTGTCTCAATTTCCGACTTCCAGAATGAGACATCACCCTTGAGCGGGCCAAATCCGGCCAGTTCGTTGAAGGCCTTGAGATAGTAACCACGAGATGGCAGAAGGGCATTGTCCCGCTGGTCATTAACCCAGCTATGGAATATGCTGCTCTTTACGCTGTCGCCTGCATCTGCGCGGACGGTAGGGGAGGCATTCTCCGCAAGGCCAGTAAGCTGTCTCCAGAAACCGTTGTATCCAAATTCGTGACGGTGGCCTGATTTGGAAATCCATCGGAGCTTGCTCCAGCCACCCTTGAGAACCTCCTCGTGACTTGCCCAAGACTTCTGGGTGGAGCTTGCAATACCGCCAATTTCTAGGCGGAAATCGGGATCACCCAAGATGGGAGTCTCGAATGCAGCCTGATAAGCGGACCGTGTCCGGGTACCGAGCGAAGCGTTCAAGTTCAAAGTCTCAGCGCCTCCAAAGACATTGCGCCAGAGAAGATTACCGTAGGCTGAGCCCTCAGCATTACCCAAGTCGGTTCCAGTCTTCATCAGCACGCGGGACTTCTCTCGCGTCGCCAGATGGACATCGATGTTGCGCATGCCATCCTGGGTTTGCGACTCGTCCAAGTAGACCGAAATAGGCTGGTGGAATAAATCTGAGGTTATGTTAGTAGACACCCATGATTGATATTTTCCTGCCATCTCATACCGAAACGTCCAAGTTTATCTGCGGTAGCCGACACTTCCCGCAACGCTTCGGACAGTGTATACGGCCGACCCTTGTTTGCACTCAAAAGCGGGCTCAAGTTGCGCTCAAGGAAGCTTCGCCGAGTATGAGGGGCACTGGTGACTTGAACAGAGGATATGGTGCAGGGCAAGGTCGAGTTTTCGTCGATCTAATAGATATCGCGATCAGCCGGGGAACTCCGCAAGTAAACGCGAGCTGCTTGTCATCGGTGTCTAGGATTTGAAGATCATACCAATTCAGCAAGTCGGTTCTGGGCCTTTTGGTAAATAGCTTGCATGCGCTCATTCACAGCCTGCTGTTGCTCTTCCAAGACCTTGGGGTCTGCTCGCTGTTGCAAACGCTCGAAGACCTAGAAGCGGATAAGAGTTAATAAAGGGTCAACTAAACATTTTAGGCAGCTAATGAGCTGCCTGAGATATGCACTGACACTTTCGTCTCCTTCAGCAAAAGAGGAAGACATTTTTGCGGCTGCAATGGCCTGAACTTTTGGCCTCCGGGGAACAGATCGGGGTGCTCGTGCCGAACCCGCGAGATATGGAACCATCACGTGACCCAGCGAACGTGAGCGCCTGATTGCGACAATCTATCTTTTGACTCCGCAACTTCTTTTACTTCTCAAGCTCTTTCCTCGGTTTCGCTTTCTTGGGGTGCTCATAGAACACCGACTTGTCTTGTTTTGCTTTGCAACGTCTCTCGCTTCTACTTATATCACCAAAGATGGCGACAAAAGCGGCTTTCAAACGGGTAAGTTGCCAGACCTCAAAGCCAATCCGTTATCAATGAATAGTGTCTAACAATGGTTACTATAGCTCACCCGCGAATACCAAAATATCCAAAAAGATCCCACGCCATTTATTGTGACCCATCCATCTGAGACTAATATCCTTGAGTAAGTATTGTACATCCCCTCGCATTGCCGCATTGCCGCATTGCCGCAGAACTCCGAAGCTAACCTGCGCTAGGTGGCATTACATCCTCACTGGACCCCCGGGAACTCCTTATGAAAATGGACAGTATTGGGGTACATTGATCTTCCCTCCAGAGTACCCATTCGCTCCTCCCGCCATCCGCATGCACACACCCAGCGGCCGATTCCAGCCTTCCACTCGACTCTGTCTAAGCATCAGTGACTTCCACCCGAAATCCTTCAACCCCGCCTGGGAAGTCTCCACCATTCTCATCGGTCTTCTCTCTTTCATGACCAGTGAAGAGATGACCACGGGAAGTGTGAGTGGCTCGGAAAGTGAGCGCAGAGTGCTTGCCGCGCGATCTCGGTGGTGGAACTCGACCGGAGGAGGTTCTCATATTAGCGCCACTGCCGGCATCACTCGAACTTCTAAGGGTATCAACAATGTCAAGGCAGGAGATGGAGGCTTGAAGTTCCGCACAGAATGGCCCGAACTCGACCAGGAAAACTGGACTTGGATGAAAGAGCATCGTATTGATTCCGCCACCGGCCAGATTTTGCCTGACCCTGATGCGCCTGCCAAGTGTTCCCCAGAGACAAGTGCTTTACGTCGACGGCCCAACGGCAGTGCTCCTGGAATCGGATCTGTTGTGGACGGTGGGCACGTTGCGAGAGAGGCTGGTCAGGGCTGGGCCGGACGAAACCGAATCTGGATTTGTGTTGCTGTCTTCTTTGGCTATGCCCTGATCTCACGACTATTGAGTGATATGCGAGCATGAGATTGAACTAGTTTTTTTTTTTTTTTTTCTTTATGTTAGAATACCCTTTGTCTTCATGTTTTATCCTAGGCTTTTTTTTGTTGTTGTTGTCCCTGTCCTTAGCGGGTTCTCAAGCATTATTTGGGTGCCATGGGGGGAGGTTTTTGTTTTCTCCAAGACAATCAAGTCTCGAGATTTATTGAATACTTGAAGAACCTTTCCAAATAATAGGTTACACCATTGAGCACCGGATCATCCCAGACGATTTGCGCTGAATCGGGCTTGTGCTCCCCGCATTGGCAACATTGGCAACGTAACTACACTCCTTTTCTCTTCTAAATCCGCCTTCACCCAACTGCATAGCCTGCTATCCACTTCTTTATTGGTTTGTCTTCTGTGTTTTGTCTCTTTCCCTTCGCATTCCGAACTTGCCTTGGCCTTCGGATGGATCATCTGCAGCCTTTCACCTTTGGTTCGCCTCGGCATACCCATTCAGGTCAGTGCTTTCTGGTTTTGATATACCTTAATATTGGGGAATTTGGCCTTACTGAACCCTGAATCCCGTTGGCCTTTTTTTCGGGGGGATCTTTTGCCTCATTTTGAGGTCAAATTCGCATCCGTTTTGAGTGATATGGCTCTTTGTTTCCCATTTGTCTATGGATCCCCCCCCAATCAGTCAGCAGCGTCAGAGTTGCACCAAAAGAGAGCCCCCTTGATTGTCAAGAACTTGGACTGAAGTACCCGACTAGAACCCAAGGCCAAACCTGCGCCGCTGGATCGGCCTTCCTATACATTCATCGATCACGACGATGACTTGACCTCTAAGAGGATTAAAGATGTCAATGCACGCAAGGCTATTCGCTCTCATGTTATGCGCGATGTACGCCGACGGGAGAGACTTGCTGGGTTGAAACGAACATCCAGACAGAATCGCGGACAATCCGATACTTCCAAGGCTGCCGCTAATGAAGTAGATGAACAAAGACTGGTGTTGAGGGCTTCATCCCAGTCTTCTGCTGCATCTTACATCCTGGACACAGACACCGGAGACGGGTTTGCCTCAATTTATCGTGGGCGTCCTGTCAGGTGGTGTGCTGGCTATCCTTTGCCTCTCCATTCAAATCCTAGTCCACCTACATCGTGGTTTCTTGATCCTTTCTTTACGTTGCCCGGTACCAGTGAGCTCCCGTCAATGGTGGCACATTTGGTGTACTACTGTAAGTATTGCTCATTTCAACGTGGCCTGTTATTCTAGTCATTTTAGGTGTCCATACTGCATGCGCCTCCCCAGAACTAGAGCTGACTATAGGGCGAAGGGAAAACCATATTTGTACCGATGACTTTTCCGAACACAACCAAAGATTCAAATCAAGAGATGGAACTAATGGTTCGATCCTCGTTCTCGGATCCCGGTAGTTTCTTTGGGCTGATGAGCATGTGCGCTGCACATCGAGCCGTTATCGAACGCCAGCGATCGGGTAATTGGGACTCCGTACTTACCAACGACCCTGACTATTGTATGATGAGAGCAAAGTCCATTCAAGAGATGAGCGCAAAAGTACGGGATCCGAGTCGCAGACTCAGCAATGAAGCGTTTGATACCATCATCAATCTCCTCACTGGTTCGGTATGGATTCTATCCCCGAATGTCGGAATACAGTGTTGCAGGGCTAACATGTCACAGTTGATTATCGGAGAGTTCACCGAGGTCCATACTCACCTAACAGGACTTAAAAGTATGGTTGATCTACGGGGTGGAATAACAGATGAGAGTATTCGTTCTTCTTCTATGTTGTCTGCCATTATCACGTACGTGCGTTTCCGTGTGTTTCTAGCTCTCTACTCTGAGTCCCGCTCACGGTTGATGAAACAGAACCGACATCAAAGCCGCCTCGGGCCTAATGACCAAACCTGTTTTTCCATTAACTTGGGATGCACAGCCAATCCCTTCGGAGATCCAACAGCGAATCAGACCACTGGCTCCGTCTCCTCTCAACAGACTAGGCACAGGATTTTCTGCCAATAAATTTCTCAGTCCCGCCTTATTGAAGATTATAAGTGTGCTTCGTGACATGGTATTCTTTAGTATAACTTATCAGACAAATCCTACGGTCATTAAGCCTGGTGACCAAGACTTTTTCCGCATTCTCAACTGCGAAGCAGAGCATCAGCTTCTCAGCTACATCTACGCAGAAGGCTCCCCTAACCCGGAGCCCAATCTTCATCCAATCGAAGCAGTCACTCGAGTGGCTTCTATTTGTTATCTCAATCATTTCCTGATTGTCTCACCTTCATCGTCTGGATTGGGTCGAGCCCTTACGAAACATCTCAAGACAGCGTTGGATGGCTGCAAATTGTCTCTTCTTGTGGGGTTACCGAATCAAAATTGTGGACTCTATGTTTGGGCATTATTCGTCGGAGCCCAAGGTGCCCTTGGACAGCCTGAGAGACAATGGTTTGTGGAGCGGCTGGCCCGTGTCGCAATGATATGTGGATGGCAGTCGTGGGAGCAAATTTCGAAACATATGGTTGAATTTTTCTTTGTTGTAGCTTTGGACAGCTTGAATTGGCGCTCTATCTGGGATGAAGCGATGACTGGGTTTGTTATATCCGAGTCGGAGGAACTGGAATTCTCATCTCTTCTTGGAACGGGTGCACTCTCCCTTACTTAGCTCTCAATTATGGGCACTTGTATATTTTACACAAACCCAGCAGTAATAGTAATAATAAACCAAAGAAATTAAACGGAATGGGTCTTGCGGAGTATACAAATTTGCATTGAAAAGATATGAAAAGATATGAAAAGATGAAGTACAAAAGCCCTCCAGCGCTATAGATCGATGGATGACTTGTTTACATTTCACCGCTTTGAGTTCAGCCTATCACGTGGCAGCGTTATGTCATCAAGAAAAATGTCCGCTTTCTCCGGTCTTTTATCGCGTTTGCTTTCGCCTTAGATCTTACCATAAAAATTTCTTTGCTTCTTTGCTTCATACTTTAAAATGGGTTGGTTCTGGGCAGACACTCCGCAGACTTCCGCAGTCTCAATCCCACATGCATCCTCAAATGCATCTCCTCCAGTTCGTTTTGCGCATCCTGTACAGTGTTGATCATCTAGACTGACTCTTATCTAAAGCCGGGATGTCCGATGCATGAATCGGGCATGAAGCCCTCACCCTCTCCAGCACCTGCTGCTGAACTCCCCAGCAGCTGCCCCATGAAATCGAAAGATTCTCCATTCTACTCGGCCCCAAAATCAACACCGGCGCAAACACCGCAGCCACCCATGGACACCGCGCCGCAGCCCTCCACCCTCTCAAAGCTTAATCCTCTGAACTACATGTTCTCATCTATTTCCCAAGAGCGCGCCGCTAATCAAACTGTTGACCTTCCCGTTGAGCGCGAAGGCTCTTCGATCCCAAGGGGCGACGGTGAAGGCAACTGGGAGTATCCGTCTCCGCAACAGATGTACAATGCCATGCTGCGCAAAGGACACACAGACACACCCCAGGATGCAGTGGAGTCGATGGTTGCAGTGCATAACTTCCTGAACGAAGGCGCCTGGGATGAAATCGTGGGATGGGAGCGCGTATTCGCCAAGGGTCTCAAGTCTGGATGGGAACACTGCCGCCGCGGCGAAGAAAACCTGAGCATGGACTTGACCTATGCAGACGAGAATGGTAAATTCGATTTGACCTCCGAGCCTCGTCTATTACGGTTTCAAGGTCGGCCACAAGAGTGGTCACCCAAGGCACAGATATACCAGGCACTGAGCTGGGCGTACCCAAGCAAATTTGAGTAAGGACTTTCTTCGCGGTATTTA